GTTAGAGTGTGTGTGTCTGTGTGTTTGTGTGTCTGTGTGTGTGTTAGAGTGTGTGTGCGTGTCCCTGTGTGTGTGTGTGTGTGTGTGTGCGTGTCTATGTGTATATATATGTGTGTGTGTGTGTGTGTCTGTGTGTGTGTTAGAGTGTGTGTATGTGTGTGTCAGTGTGTCTGTGTGTGTGTTAGAGTGTGTGTATGTGTGTATGTGTCTGTGTGTGTGTTAGAGTGTGTGTATGTGTCTGTGTGTGTGTCTGTGTCTGTGTGTGCGTGTTAAAGTGTGTGTATGTGTCTGTGTGTGTGTCTGTGTCTGTGTGTGCCTGTTAGAGTGTGTGCTTGTGTGTGTCCCTGTGTACCTGTGTGTGTTAGAGTGTGTGTGCGAGTCCCTGTGTGTGTGTGTCTGTGTGTGTGTGTGTGTGTGTGTCTGTGTGTCTGTGTGTGTGTGTGTGTGTGGAACTGTCACCAGTTGATGATTAGGATTTGGAATTCTGCCTGATTTTATTCCTTCCCAGGGCAGCTGCGATCACCTGGGATTGAGTAACTCAGCAAAAAGCAGAGTTTGGATCAGGGCCAACTCCAATGGGCCTGAGTACGTACGAACATGAGGAGGATTTACACAAAATGTACAGCACAGAAAGAGCTGTATCTAACTCCTTCCAGAAAACATTCAATATTTTGTCCTCAACCGCTTTCTGTGGCAGAGAATTCCACAGGCTCCCCCACTCTCCGGGTGAAGACATTTCTCCTCATCTCAATCCTAAATGGCCTACCCCGTTTCCTTAGACTATGACCCCCTGGGTCTGGACCACCCACCCCCCCAGTGACTGGGAACATCCTTCCTGAGTTTACCCTGTCTAGTCATGTTAGAATGTTACAGGTTTCTATCAGACCCCCCTCATTCTTCTCAACTCCAGTGAATAAATCACAAACCAATCCAAGATAGTAAGAGCTGCCAATGCTGGAGTCAGAGATAACACAGTGTGGAACTGGAGGAACACAGCAGGCCAGGCAGCATCAGAGAAGCAGGGAAGTTGACACTTCAGGTCGGGACCCTTCTTCAGAAAAAAAGCAATCCAGCCTTCATATGTCAGTCATTTAGGCAGAGAAATGGCAGATGGAATTTAATCTGATGCCACCTGCAAACTGGAGGATCAGCACCTCATATTCCACCTTGGGAGCCTACAGCCCAATGGCCTAAACATGGAATTCACCAGTTTCAAAATCTCCCCACCCCCGGCCTCATTCCATGTCCCACCCTCCCTCTCCTCCCCACCTCCTTAACCTGACACAACCTGTCCATCTTCTCTCCCACCTATCCGCTCTCCCACTTCACTGACCAATCCCCACCACGGCCAACCTGCACTCACCTATAACCAGCCCACCCACCTCCCCAGCCCCACCCCTCCTCTCTCTATTTATTTCCCAGTTCCCTTCCCCCTCCCCCATTTCTGAAGAAGGGTCTGACCGGAAAGGTCAACTTTCCTGCTCTTCTGATGCTGCCTGGCCTGCCGTGTTCCTCCAGCTCCACACTGTGTTATCAGTGTAAGGTGACATGTTTTGGAAGACCAAATGCAAAAGGAAAGTGTACAGTAAATGGCAGGACCCCTAGGAACATTGATATACAGAGGGACCTTGGGGTCCAAGTCCGTAGCTCCCTGAAAGTGGATAAGGTGGTAAAAAGATGGCATACAGCATACTTGCCTTCATCGGACAGGGACATTGAGTATAAACGTTGGTGAGTTATGTTGCAGCTGTACAAGACTTTAGTTAGGCCACATTTGGAGTATTGTGTGCAGCTCTGCGCACCACGCTATAGGAAGGGTGTGGAGGCTTTGGACAGGGTGCAAAAGAGATTTATCAGGATGTTGCCTGGATTGGAGTGTTTTAGCGATCAGGAGAGGTTGGACAAACTTGGATTGTTTTCGTTAGAGCATCAGAGGCTGAGGGGCGACTTGTTAGAAGTCTATAAAATTATGAGAGGCATGGACAGGGTGATAGTCAGAGTCCTTTTCCCCAGGGTGGAAATGTCAAATACTAGGGGGGGGCAGGGGTTTAAGGTGAGAGGGGGAAAGTTTAAAGGAGATGTGCGAGGCAAGTTTTTTACACAGAAGGTGGTAGGTGGCTGGAATGTACTGCCAGGGGAGGTGGTAAAAGCAGATAGATTAGCAATGTTTAAGAGGCATTTAGACAGAGACACAAACAGGCAGCGAATAGAGGGATATGGACCTGTTCCAAACAGATGGGATTAGTTTAGAATGGCATCATGGCCAGCACAGACATGGTGGGCCGAAGGGCCTTTTCCTGTGCTGTACTGTTCTATGTAGCCTAACTGCCCCCTGCTGGCATTAAGCTGTAAGTGAGCTGCTTCCCATCCCCTCTTCATCTCCCATCAGTCTGCTCTCCTCTCCGTTTCTCTCTGATGTGTTTAGGAACAAAATGTGGTCAGGCTGAGGGTCTGAAATTCACTCCCTGAGAGTGTAGAGTGTGAGGAAGGGTCCCTGGACCCGAAATGTTAACTGATTTCTCTCCACAGATGCTGCCAGACCTTGCTGAGCTTTTCCAGCAACTTCTACTTTTGTTTCTGATTCACGGCATCTGCAGTTCTTTCAGTTTTTATTTAGGGAGGTTCAAATGGAGCCTCCAGAGGAGATTTAGACTTTAACCTGTAAAGGAAGAATGTGTAGGGTTGTAGGGACAAAGCAGGAGATTGGAACATTGGGGTGCATATTTCCTCAAAAGTGGAGGTGCAGGTAGACAGGGCAGTGAAGAAGGCATTTGGTACACTTTCCTTTATTGGTCATTGCATTGAGTATAGGAGTTGGGGAGTCATGTTGCAGCTGTACAGGACATTGGTGAGGCCACTTTTGGAATACAATTCTGGTCGTGCAATTCTGGTCTCCCTGCTATAGGAAGGATGTTGTGAAACTTGAAAGGGTTCAGAAAAGATTCACAAGAACGTTGCCAAGATTGGAGGGTTTGAACTACAGGGAGAGGCTGAATAGGCTGGGGCTGTTTTCCCTGGAGCATTGGAGGCTGAGGGGGTGACCCTATAGAGGTTTATAAAATCATGAGGGGCATGGATAGGGTGAATAGCCAAGGTCTTTTCCCCAGGGTAGGGGAGTCCAAAACTAGAGGGGCATAGGTTTAAGGTGAGAGGGGAAAGATTTAAAAGGGACTTAAGGGGTAACTTTTTCACACAGAGGGTGGTGTGTGTATGGAATGAGCTGCCAGAGGAAATGGTGGAGGCTGGTACAATTACACCATTTAAAAGGCATCTGGGTGGGTATAAATAGGAAAGATTTAGAGGGATATGGGATAAATGCTGGCAAATGGGACTGGATTAATTTAGGATATCTGGTTGGCATGGACGAGTTGGACCGAGGGGTCTGTTTCATTGCTGCACATCTCTGTGGCTCTAAGTGCTTAGTCATAAAGTCAGTGCAGAGATGATGGGCCAAATGGCTTCCTTCTGTGCAGGAACAATTCTGTGATAGTGGGGGAAGGTGAGGATACACATGCCTTACACAGTGAGTGACAGCTGTCTGCCTAAAAGGGAGACAATGAATGATTTCAAAAGGCAATTGGATAGACACTTGTGGGAAGTCAATTTGCAGGGACTAGGGGAAAGAGGGGAATGGGACTGATAGGATTGCTCTACAGAGAGCCAGCATGAACTCTAGGGCCTCTTTCTGAACTGCAATGATGCTATTAAGATTCCCTTATCGATGGTATTCACCTCAACCATTTCCAGAAACTGCACAGCTGTTTTATTTTTGTTTGTTCACAGGCTGTGGGCATCGCTGGCTGGCCCCAGCATTTATTTCCTGTCCCTAGTTGCCCCCTTGAGAAGGTGGTGATGAGCTGCCATCTTGAACCATTGTTGTCCATATACTGTGGGTCAACCCACAATGCCCTTAGGGAGGGAATTCCAGGATTTTGACCCAGTGACACTGAAGGAACGGCGATATATTTCCAAGTCAGGATGGTGAGGGGCTTGGAGGGGAACTTGCAAGGGATGGTGTTCCCATGTATCTGCTGCCCCTTGTCCTTCTAGATGGAAGTGGTCGTGGGTTTGGAAGGTGCTGTCTGAGCGTCTTTGGTGAATTGCTGTAGTGCATCTTGTAGATGGTACACACTGCTGCTACTGAGCATCGGTGGTGGAGGGAGTGAATGTTTGTGGATGTGGTGCCAATCAAGCGGGGGCTGCTTTGTCCTGGATGGTCTCGAGCTTCTCAAATGGTGTTGGTTATGTGTGGGATGCCTTACCTTCTCATTTTGCCCTATGGTTGATGCAGAGGGGTATCCCTCAAGCCATACCAATTCTCTTTCTCTCTCTAGTGGAGAAATACACTTGGTCTCTCAACTATGGCTGAGTTTCCACCCTATTACCCAGACGAGGCAGAAACTGTTGCTCGTGGCGATAGGTCAAGAACCAGAGGATACTGAATGAAAGTTGTTTGCCAATAGAACTAAAGGAAACATGAGGAAAAAAATCTTTTCGTGTGGTGAGCAGTCAGGGTGTGGAATGCGCTGCCTGAGAGTCTGGTATAGGCAGTTTCAATCGAGCTTTTCAAAGAGAAATTGGATCATTATCTGATGACCATCATTCTTGTGCATATCTAAGGCTGAGATAGATTCTTGAACAGGAAGGGAATTAAGGGTGATGGGAAAAGTGTCGGAAAGTGAGCCACATCAGATCGGCTATGACCCTACTGAATGGCAGGCTCAAGGGGCCTGCTCCTGTTCCTATTTCTTATGGGCGTGTGGAGAGAGAAACCCAAAAAAAAAATAGCTGGCCTCCAGAGAAAAGGTGGGAGAGTGGGACCAAGCAGATTGGTCTTGCAGAGAATGCACTCAGGCCGGATGGGCTGAAAGGCCTCCTTCTGTGGATGAAGTGTGGAAAGACAGGGCGTCAGTTAATGTGGCACTATCTTCGTGGAGCGTATAAGTGAGGAGGAACGTTAACACAGCTGCTGTCTGCCTCCCACCCCTGTTCTTGCAGGTGAGCTGTATTTCATGTCCAGTGGGAATCCCAGTGCCTACGTCCCCGCAGGAACTGTGTATAAACTGATCGACCCTTCACGGTGAGTGTCAGCATTCTCCTTCTACCTTGCGACTCGCGAATGATCCTCGTGTTCTTGAGAATCAAGGCCAGCCTAAGTTTGCTCAGCCCTGACCTGCCTCGCACTCTGTGTCCCATAAGGCAGGGCTGGAATCCCAATCCCAGCCTCACTCGGAATGATAGAGATAGTAGGAACTGCAGATGCTGGAGAATCCGAGACAACAAGGTGCAGGGCTGGATGAACACAGCAGGCCAAGCAGCATCATAGGAGCAGAGAGGCTGACGTTTCGGGCCTAGACCCTTGATGCTGGATTACGGAGAGAGATGAGGAAGGTGGGAAATAGGATCAGGAGTAGGCCGTTCAGCAGCAAGACTGGTCTGCCATTCAGTAAGATGGTGACTGAACTTCTGCATCAGCATTGCTTTCCCACACTATCCCTTGATATCTTTAATGGATACAAACCTATCAGGGGGAGCTGAGTGGTACTATCACTGGACTGTTAACCCAGAGACACAGGTAATGTCCTGGGGATCGGAGTTCAAATCCCACCATGTCAGGTGGTGGAATTTGAACTCAATAAAAAGTATCTGGAATTAAGAGTCTAATGATGACCGTGAATCCATTGTCAATTGTTGGGAAAAGCCCATCTGGTTCACTAATGTCCTTTAGTGAAGGAAACTGCCATCCTTACCTGGTCTGGGCCTACATGTGACTCCAGACCCACAGCAATGTGGTTGGCTCTTAAACTGCCCTCTGGGCAATTAGGGATGGGCAATAAATGCTTCCCTCGCCAGAGATCCCCTCATCCCATGAAGGAATTAAAAAAACCCTATCAATCTCTGTTATCAACTCATACAACACAGAAGGGGCCCTTCAGCCCCCTGAGTCTGTGCTAACCCATCTGCACTAGTCCCACTTGGGTCGTAGCATTGAATGTTATGACATTTCAAGTTTTCATCCACAATTTTTTTCAATTAAGCTCTTCACCGATGTATTGATGCACCTCCAGTGCAGGTGGGACTTGAAGATGGTCCCCCGGCCCAGAGAAGGGATACTACCAGGGTATCTAGAACTTTTCCACGTACTTTTTAAAGGTTCTGCCTCTACTACCCTCCCAGATTCCCATTTTAGAACATAGAACATAGAACATTACAGCACAGTACACATCCTCAAATCCCTTCCAAACCTCCCGCTGTTCACTTCAAAATTATACCCCATTGTTAATGACTCTTTCCCTAAGGGAAACAGCTTCTTTCTATTATGTCCCTTATAATCTTTTACCCCTCTATCAGGCACCACCCCCTTCAGTCCGCTGTTCTTAAAAAAAAACGCATGCTTGTCCAGGAACAAAACAGAAGTTGCTGGAAAAGCTCAGCAGGTCTGGCAGCATTTGTGAAGGAAAAGCTCGTGCAGTCTGTCTTCTGAGCTAAAATACTCCAGCCCGGGCAACGTCCTGGTGAGAGATAGCAAGAGCTGCCGATGCTGGAGTCAGAGATAACACAGTGTGGAGCTGGAGGAACACAGTGGGCCAGGCAGTATCAGAGGAGCAGGAGCAGAATTTTGAGTAGAAATTCTGAAGAAGGGTCCCAACCCAAAATGTCAGCTTGCCTGCTCCTCTGACACTGCCTGGCCTGCTGTGTTCCTCCAGCTCCTCACTTTGTTTTATCAACATCCTGGTGAACCTCATTTTACCCCTTCCACTGCAATCGCACCTTTCCAAAGTTCTGAAAAGTCACTGGAGCGGAAACGTTAACTCTGCTTTCTCTCCACAGACGCTACCAAACTTCCTGAGTTTCTCAAAGAGATTTCTGCTTTTGTATCACAACCTTCCTATAATGTGGTGATACAGAACTGTCCACAGTGCTCCAGCTGTGACCAAACCCCAAAGTCCTGTACAGTTCCAACAATGACCTCCCTGATCGCATAATCTATGCCACGACCGATAAAGAAATGTACACAATAATTGAGCCTCCGCAGCCTGTGGGGTACAGAATTCCACTGGGTCAAGGAAATCCTGCTTCTCTCAGTCCCAAATGCTGAGCCCCTAATCCTCAGAGTGTCTCCCCTCACTCTAGACTCACCAGCCAGCAGTTAACATTTCGACTATCTCCATCCTGCCATGTTCTTGAAGAATTTGAGAGTTTTATTGAGGTTACCCTTCATTCCTCTTATTGCACTGGAGCAAGGGGAGGTGGGTTGGAAAGAGACGATTTGTGGGGACAAGGCCAGGAATGGAGAGCGGGAGGGGATTTGATTGATATTTTCAACATATTTAGGTGGATCAGAGAGGGGTAGATCGAGAGAAATAACTCTGGAGGTTGGGGAGTCCAAATCAGGGCTCGGAACTCTCTCCCACAAATGGGTGGCATGGCGGCTCAGTGGTTAGCATTGCTGCCTTATGGTGCTGGGGACCTGGGTTCAATTCTACCTTCGGGTGACTATCTGTGTGGAGTTTGCATGTTCTCCCTGCGTGTGCGTGGGTTTCCTCCCACAGTCCATGTTAGCTGAATTGGCCATGTTAAATTGCCCAACACATGCAGGCTAGGTGGATTAGCTATGTGGGGAAATACAGGGATGAGATGGGTGTGGATGGGATACTCTCCAGAGGGTTGGCATGGGCTGAATGGCCTGTCCCTACACTTTTGAGGATTCCACAACAATCTACGGTTGATCAATTTTAAACCAGAGATTGACCAATAACCAAAAACGTGAAGGGATTTGGGGTAAAGTATGTGCAATTAGGTTGCAGGTCAGTCATGCGTGATGGAATAGTTTCGCTCAAGGGGCTGAATGGCCTACACCCTCCCTCATCCTGTTTGGTAAATCGCTAGCTGATGCTGCCTTTCAGTGGACAGTTTGGGATGTCCATGCAGTGAAAGAGATCCCCACCATCCACCCTCCAATCAAGAGCAGGGGAAAAGGACCACTCAGACCACTCAGCCCATCTCACGGAAAAATACTTGCAGCAGTGTGACAAGAGGCTGATTAAATCAGGGATAATTACCTTTATGACTCTACCCAGAGAATCCAAAGCCATTGCTGTTGACTGAGTACAAATCTCAACCACAGGAAGCAGTTTAGTTTGATGCAACACCCTCGAGAATGCAGAATTATTAGAGGTCAGAAGGAGGCCATTCAACCCATCGAATCTCTACTGTCTCTCCTTTATTCTCTTGTGGGACGTGAGCATTGCTGGCTGGGCCAGCATTTATTGCCCCATCCCTAGTTGCCCCCTTGCCTTCCGAAACCTCTGCAGTCTGTGTGTTGCAGGCAGACCCACCACTCCCCCAGGCAATCCCCCTGTAACCCCCCACTTTCTTCCTTTCCAGCGATTAATCCAATGTCCCAAACTGAATCTACCTCCACCAAACTCTCAGACACTGCTTGGGAAGGCATGGTGGCTCAGTGGTTAGCACTGCTACCTCACGGTGCTAGGGACCTGGGTTCAATTCCACCCTCGGGTGACTGTCTGTGTGGGGTTTGCACATTCTCCCTGTGTCTGTGTGATGCTCTGGTTTCCTCCCACAGTCCAAAGATGTGCAGGTTAGGGTGGATTAGCCATGGGAAATTACCCCATAGTGTCCAGGGATGTGCAGGCTGGGTGGGTTAGCCATGGGAATGCAGGGTTACAGGGATAATGCTCCTTGGAGGGTCAGTACAGACTCAGTGGGTGAAGTGGCCTCTTTCTGCACTGTAGGGATTTACAAAAGGTTTCCCTTTGTGCTGCCATTCCATCTTTGGGCAATTATCAATGCCCTCTGGTTCTCCGTTCCTTCTGCAATCATCCCTCATGACAAAAGTTCCCTGTTCCTGGGAACGTACAAAAATGCTCTTCTTAATTTGAAGCACAAACGTAATGAAGTTGTCACATGGATGCTGAGACCAGGGCTGGTTTAATCCAATCAATCCATTATCCTGTAAATTATATTCAGCTTTGCTTCTTACCCCTAATGTTGTCATTTTTAACGGGGGACCATCCGCCTGTTCATCTTCTTCAAGGAGAGCACCACCGGGGAAGTGTCGCTACAAACCGCAGCCCGTCACCGTGAAAGGAAAATTACTGCCATTTCGGCCGAAAGAGAGTGAGTGTAATCACACCCCGTCTCTGAAATGTACACTGCACATTCTCCTCTCAATGTCACAGTTACTTCTCAGCGCATTTCCGTCTTTCGTCACAAGTTTTCTGTCACTCTTTGCCCTGTCACACACTCTCGGCCCTGTCACACTCTCGGCCCTGTCACACTTTCTCACACTTTGCATGGTCACACTTTATCACTCTCTGCCCTGTCACTCTCTCGGCCCGGTCACTCTCTCGGCCCTGTCACACTTTTTCTCTCTCTCGGCCCTGTCACTCTCCCTCTCTCGGCCCGGTCACTCTCTCGGCCC